TCCTTGTGGTCTTCTTGAGTCTAAACTCAGTTCAAATGCAAGTCTTTTGTGGTTTGTTCATGTAGCAAATTCAAACTCTTCTTGCTTGCGTTTCGTTTAAGTCATTTGCTCATTTGATTATAGACATATTAAGCTCCTTTTATCTGTTCATTTAAGTCCAAAGCATGTCTTCACTTGTTCAAAATTTGTTCAAGTCCTTGTCCTTTTAGACAAAATTTCGGCGGCCTCTCGGTTTCTCCCCCGTTTAGGAAAAAAAAATCAAGAGGCCGCATACCCGCCACGTCAACAAAGACGTGCACGGTTAGTGTTTGTGAGACACTGCGGCGGTGATTTTTGTTTTTTTATCCACTACGCCAACAAAGACGTGCATGGAATTTTAAAAAGTATTTTTTTTTTTTTTGAAAAAAATTTTTTTTTTTTTTGAAAAAAGCAGTTTGCTTTTCCCCCTCTCGGGGGTACTTATGAGTGACCCCACCTCGCCGTAGGTGCCGCATCGGGGTCCCATCCCACCACGCGCAATAAAGGCGTGCATGGGCAGTTTTTCGATCCGCCACGAACATTGAAGTAGAGTTTTTAGGTGATTACCCGCCTTGTCGTAAGCGCCGCACCGGGATCCCATCCCACCACACGCAACAAAGGCGTGCATGGGCAGTTTTTCAGTCCGGCGTAAACAATGAAAATAGGAATCTGAGTTTTAGAAATATTCGTACCTTCGTGGGGTTGTGGTGTGACGGCGATGATGACGTTGCAAAATAAAAAATAACTCTCTTTCTTTAATTTCTTTTTTTTTTAATTTTATTTTTCTTTTTTTTTTCTGAAACTCTTCTTTTTTTTAAATAATCTCTCTTTTTTTTTAAATGCCCACATCTTTTTTTTTTCACATATTTACCTGTAAGTCTCAAAATTAGTAAACAAAATAATGTCAATAACACAATATGCATAAAGTATTAACAATATGTAATGCTAAAAAAAAGGAAATATGGTGGGGATGAAATTAAATCTGCTATTTCTCCTTTTGATTTTTTATGTGGATGACTTCTTTCTCTTGTTAACACACATGTATGCATACGCATATACACCATTAAGACCAACAATCATGATGCAAATGATTATCAATTTAATCTAATTAGCAAAATTAATAACGCAAATTAGACTAGTTAGTATAGCAATGCATATCAACAACACATAGTATATATATAAAACAAATATAGACATTATCAATAATGATAATAACATTCAGTAACATTACAATTCATTATTAGCACTTATAATAATAGTTGATATTAACAAACTAAGGCAAAGTGGATAGGATGAAACAATGTAAAATGAGAGAAGTAAATAGTAACAAATGACTTAAAGCTTAGAAGTAAAATAAAAAATAAAAAAATACTGTGTATGCTTTGGAATTTGAAAGCAGTCATTTCAAAATGGAAGTGGATTTCTTGTTATATATGGGATGAGTTAATTCTTAGTGAATGGGCCTTTGAGTAGGCTGAAATGCAAGGACTAATTTAGTGGTATATCACTACAGCAACATACTCATTTAAAAAAAAAACTTAGGCCGGCCCTTCCATTAGTTGCTTCGTCTCATTTGACCTTACTAAAATCCAAATCAAATAAGCTTTAACAGTTCACTGCCAACCTATCAAATTGCTACAGAACTATTTATCTCTTTATTAGAACGTCGTGTATTCACCTCTAGCAAGCACAGGGATGAGTAAAGCACAGGAAACATTCGATGTAATAAAAAAAAAATTCATGTCAGAATCTCTCCTTCCCCTTTTTTTCACGTGGGCGTCAGAGACCCACCTTCTTTTTACCTTAAAGCAAGGAAATGGTTGAGAAAATTGGTGTGAGCTTTGCTGACGGGAAGGAGGCTGTAGTTCAGCTCTAAGGTCCAGGATATTGCAGCTATTGCAGAGAGTCTGAAGGATTTGGCGTGAGACCCAGCTGCCAACTAGTGTAAAAAGAACAACAAAAAGGAGCTCCGCTGGAATGCTCGGCTAATTGTTGGCGTGAAGGTACAGGTGGAGATGGACGTGAAAGAGAGGTGGCTCAAGGTGGAATGATCTTAAATTTCAGGGAAGCTCGCTGGGAGGTAAGGAGATGCTCAGAATTATTATTTTTTAAGAGAGCAATTGGGTTGGCTGCTCGTGTGAAGTAAGGACGGACAAAGGGGGTGGGCTTTGTGAATGGGGAGCTGAGTGGGAAAGCAGCGAAGAACAATTCCTGTGCATTTCAGCTTTGTTTTAACGACGAGAGGAGGGGCCTCGTTTGAGACGTCACAGGATTTGCGGGAACTGATCACGAGTTCGACGAGAAATCCGGGATTCATTGGAGATTTGCGCAGAGTCTTCGACATAAACGAGGTTTGAGAATTAATACTTGATATGATCTCCGTTTTGACTTTTGATTTCTATGTTAAATTAATAATAACATTAGCTGATATTTATAACTTATAATTATCATTAATCTGAAGTAATAACAACATGTCTATTATCTCAAGAAACATCACGATTCGCGTGTATTTCCCTGCGTTAACGTGTTAAACTTGTCGAATATGGAAATTAGAAGAATTTGTAGTGTATTTAGGGTATTGCTGATATTCTGGTCGCAACGGCGCTGTCTGTTTTGCGATCGGATGTCATTTGAGCATCGTCAAGACCTCATTTTCCCTCATAATGTATGCCTTTGCAACATATTTGAACCGCCTCTTTGAAATTTGCAACACCGTATCAAACGATCCAATTTGATCAAATAAAATGTAGAATCTTAATGTCAACGACGTTCCGAATGCAATGACGCTATCCGTTTGTTGATCCAACATCATTTCGTCACCAACGAGGCTAATTTTCCTTGTAATGCATGCCTTCGCACCATATTTGAATCATCTTTGAAATTTGCGACACCACATCAAACGATCCAATTTGATCATATAAAATGTAGACTCTTAATGCCGGCGACGTTCCGGATGCAACGGTGCCATCCGTTTGGCAATCGGACATCACGTCCTCTCCGTACAGGCGAATTTCCGCAATATGCGTGCTTTCGCATCATATTTGAATCGCCTTTGAAATTTGCGATACCACCTCAAACGGTCCAAATTTATTAAATAAAATATATATTCTGAATGTCGGCAACGTTCCGGACGCAATGATGCTGTCTGTTTTGCGATCGAACATCATTTCATCACCGACGAGGCTAATTTCTTTGATATGTGCGCCTTCACATTATATTTGAATCGTCTCAAAATTCACGACGCCATCTCAGTTGATCAAAATTGATTAAATAAAATATATATTTTGAATGTTGACGACGTTCCAGACGCAATGGTGTTGTTCGTTTGTTGATCTGACATCGTTTGATCAACATCGCGCTTTAAATTCGAGTGTTGGTCGTCATCCCTTTTGACCGATCTCATCTGATTTGATTGTCAGGGGCCTCGACCTAGCAGAATTTAATGGTCTAATCGCAACGATGCTGTCCATTTGACATTCGGAGGTCATTTGATCCCTTAAGTGATGCGTTTCGTCAATGCATGTATTAAAAAGCGTTTCGTCAATGCATATATATTAAAACTCTAAAATAGTTCTAATAGGCCTTCTTATGCGAGCTCTAATCGAGCTTCTTAACAAACTTGTTCACGAGCTTTAAACGATACTATTCATAAACATAAATGAACCGAACACCAAGTTGTTCAATCTCGTTTATTTAGCTATCAAGTATTTATCAAAAGTGTTCAAGATCATTTGTTTATCTTATCAAAGGAACATGAACAAGCTCTTATTGAGCCGAGCCACAAAGTAGCTCGTCGAACGCTTGGTTCATTTGCAGCCTTAGTTGTCATTGATTTTATGGTTGATAGCAACTGGGCCAATCTTCCTCAGGCTGAGCTTTGAGTAAGCACTTGTGGGGAATCTCTTTCTTCGAAGTTGCACCATGACCAGAACACTTGGGTGAAAAACCTTTGAGCTGCGGTGTACATCGGCGGTCCGCTTGTATGAATCATTGAAATCTTGTAGTGTGTTGCGAACATTTTTCAGTATGGATCTAAAATCCTCAACAAGCTTGGTTGCTGCCGAATTGTGGCACTTAGGAAGAATGATGTAGACAATGTTAAAGGAACACATACCACTAGTGGATTTGTTGGGCGTGGAATTATAGGCAAATTCAGTATGGCTCAGAATTTCATCCCATTTCTTTGGATTGTCCTACACCAAACAACGTAGCATATTGCCAAGCGTGCGATTTACCACCTATGTTTGTCCATCAATTTGTGGATGGTATGCATAACTTAATTTAATTTCTATTTGTAGTTACTTCCAAAGCTTTCTCCAAAAGTGGTTAATAAACTTTACATCTCGATCTGAAGTGATGCTTCATGGTAAGCCGTGAAGTCTGACAATTTCCCTGAAAAATAAACGAGCAACACTAAGAGCAACAAAAGTCTTTTTGTAGACTATGAAGTGAGATATCTTTGAAAACCTGTCAACCACCATCATAATTGAGTCGACACCCTTCTTGGTCTATGGAAAACCTAGTATAAAATCCATGTTGAGGACTTCTTAGATGGAGATCATAATTGGCAACGGGATGTATAATCTACTATTCTGACTACTTTGTGTATACATTTGGCATACAGGACATCGCTTTACATACCTTGTAACATCTTTGCATAGGTGAGCCTAAAAAACTTAGCCTTCATCTGCTTGTTCTGGTTTTTTGGTGATTGATTTTGCTCTCTTTTTTGTGCTATCACATGTTTTAGTTGATGGTTGTCTTCGTCTTATACATGTATGCCCAATTTTGATTTTATAGAATGGGCTAAGCCCTCAATTTTTTCCAAATAATAAAAAAAAAATTACTAACAAGTTACACAGAGGTTAACATTTATAAAATTAGAATTTTACTAACAAATTACAAAATGGAAAACAAAATAATTACATTTATAAATTTTCCATTGATCATGCCAATGACGGATTGCAATGCGATGAACACATCTACTGAGTGCTTAAACTGGAAAATTGTATTGACTCTGCAGCATCAGAATAAAACTCCTCATCACCTGAAACTAACATCTGAACTACTGCTTCCATGTTTGGTCTCCTGTTTCTCTCTTCTTCCAGGCAAGATATCGCCACCTTAACCATCCTCATTGCTTGTTTGCAATCAAAGTCTCCCTTCAATCTTGAATCCATTAAATTCCCGATCCAAGACTCTCCTCCCATTTTAAGACTTTCCCTCAGCATCAGACACAATCTCTTCATTGCCCTGATCTCCATCTCTGTCACTCCCTTCATCACCAAATCTGAAACCCGACTCCCACTCACAAGCTCAAGCAGCACAACACCGTAGCTGTAGACATCAATCTTCCCAGTGATGGGTAAATTTGATGCCCATTCTGGTGCAATGTATCCTCTTGTTCCTCTAATCCTAGACACATTGGAACCAATCACCTCTCTATTAAGCAATTTCGCAAGCCCAAAATCTGCAATTTTTGGCTCATAGTTGCAGTCGAGAAGTACGTTCTCAGGTTTGACATCACAGTGAATCACCCATTCAAGGCACTCATGGTGAAGATAGGCCAATCCTCTTGCCACCCCAATGGCAACCTGAAACCTCTCTTTCCAACCAAGAAGTTTATTTCCATAAAACAATATCTTATCAAGTGAGCCATTCTCCACGAATTCAGATACCAGAAGCCTATGTGAGTCTTCTAAGCAGAACCCACATGTTCTGACAAGATTCATGTGATTTATCCTACCAATAACACTCACTTCTCCCCAAAACTCTTGTTCCCCATGACTCACATCTTCAAGCTTCTTCACAGCCACCACCATCCCATTTTCCAACACTCCCTTGTACACAACTCCTGATCCTCCTCTACCAAGCTCTTCCTTGAAGTTCCTCGTCGCACTCTTGAGCTCTCTATAACTAAATCTCTTGAACTGGTTCGAAATAACCTTGTAGCCTTCTACCATCAAAACGTGATCATCCTCCTTTATGTATACAAACCACCATCCTATTGCAATGAACAAGCCTTCAACTACAGAAATTGCAGTCAAGAAGCTGTACAAATTGATCCAAATCATCTTTTTTGATGAACCCTTCAACATCTTCGGTGAAGAACCAACTGTTAGAGCACCTTCAGTTGCGTTGCAAATTGTTCCCAGCTGCTGCAACTTTGAGCTGTTTATGTTTGTTACATATTTTGAAACTTTTATATAGATGTCAGAATAAGGAGTAGTCCTTCCATTATATAGTATGCTCTTGGGATAACAGAGTCCAATTCCTACCTTATAAGAAAATCCTTGACAGTTGCAATCTTTCATGCATTTGTTCTTGCATTCATCCAAAGAAAGCAAGTCAAACGCATTGAAATCGAACCCCCAGAAATCTGTGTATGGTAAATACTTGAATTCTATCTCCTCTGGTTTCATGGAGCAGTTGAGATTAAACTTTGGCTTGCAGCCCGAATTCCAGTTTCTAGGATCAGTCATCTCAAAATCAGGAGGGCACAAGCACTCCAACCTTGGGTATGAACTAAAAATTCCATTTTTCCCACATAGACCATGAATTTGGAAAGCCTCAAGAAGTGCCTGCCATGTAATTGACCATAACCCAGTTGTATTATCCAAACTGTAAAGCCTGAGGTTTCCGTCATAATCAAGAGTTAGCCTCCTGATGATCCCTGCCTTCCCTGCATCTGCTGCAAGGAACTTGAAATGATCGCTTGAATAGAACCTCCCCTTTGAATCAAGCACTGCATATCTACTGCTGTTATATATAGTTCTTCGATTTTCCCAAACAGTTTTGTCTGGGTCCGGCCAATAAACACTTGAAACCTCTGGTCCATTATATTTTAGTCTAAGAACATTTCTATCATCAAAATGGAATTCAAAGTATCCTGAAGAAGGTGACCCTCTTCCTATTGCTGAAACAAGTTGGGTGTTCTTGGTGATTGGTTGAGATGGGAGGAGGGTGTCGGTCGGTGAATCGAAGCTTTGCCATATAATTCCGCCATTAAGGTCCTTGACAACGAGGTTTCCGTTGTCAAGGAGACTCGCATAGTGGGCAGCGGCGGAGGCTATCGTCGCAGTGCTCCAAGCCACTGTGCCATCGACATCGGTGAGCACCATGGCACCATCACCGTGGAGAGTGAGACGAGATCTGTGGCCGTTGACAGGGTTGTCACGGTTGGCTGTCCAAGTGACCGTTTTGTCGACTGAGTTGGTGAGCCAAATGGAGAAAGTGTAGGCGTTGGCGCCCACTTTGTAGAAGCCGGCTGTGAAGTATTTGTCTTCAGAGATGAGAAAACTTGTGCTGTCTTCTACAGAGAGGTGTGAGTTTTTGAAGAGTTGGGATTTTGCTAAAGAAGAGGAGGGATAGAGGAAGGTGAGAAGGAGAAAAGGAAGGAGCATTATGAAAGAAAGAGATGTGTTTTTGTTCTCTAGAACTAGATTGGCTGGAAGGTGGAGGGAATGGCTTCTGGTACTTATCAACTATGGGGGTACTTTGTTTATGACTTCTTCAATGGCATGCGTAAGAAAAGTTGGATTTTTTTTTTTAAGAGTCAAATTATATATTTTAGAACATAAATCCGACCTATTAACTTATTTTGACAATGCTAATTAAGAGTTAATTAATTATACCAATACAAAAGCATCTTCCTAAGTATATACCATTTTTAATATCTCTTAAAAAATATTTATAATCATTTTAAGAAAATATATAAATTTCTTGGCGCTATCAGATTATAGTTGATGTTACTTTAAAAAATCTATTTATAATAAATTTTTCAAATAGAGAAGAAAATATATAATTGAAGTCTGGCTTTGTCATTATATATGCAGATAATTAAGAAGAGCATTTTAAAAAAACTCATTACCAAAACCTATCAATGTTTTACATTTTATTAATCATATTCTCTCACAATGCCAAATGGAAGAACTTTATAAACAAATATAAAAATTTTTAAGGGAAAAAACAAGGAAACAAATTACAAAATGGAGATGGGCCGGCGATAGGCCAAACTGCAAAGAATGAAGACAAGATGAGCATCTTATGAGGATTCAAACCGCAAAGCATGGAATCTCTAACTTTCGAAAGCATTTTACGCGTAATTAGTTGGTAAGAATGACATTGACATTAACTATATGATATTAAAAAAGGGATGAAGTACGCAGCTCAATTTGATGTGCTGGTTGGGAGCTTAGGCTATCAACTAAGAGGTCTTGAATTTGAATCTTGTGTATGTGATGTGTGTGTGAATCTGACTTAATTGGCCTAAATATTTCAAAAAAAAGGGTTGAAGTCAATTATGAGATGCCCGATGCCAAATAGAACCTATCCCTATAGATCCTCCAAGAATCAATGAAGTTAATAATGGGATTTTAATATAACTTTTGACATAATTATAAAAAAAAAAGGTTCACCAAGAAGGCAATAAAAGAAATTAATAAATCAACTATTAAGATGTTACTTTTGTGTGTGTTTAACAGGTTATTAATAGCTGGTTTGAGACAACTCTGGTATTGTTTTGCTTTCAAATCGCAACCACGGTTTATATTTGACTACTACTTTTTTTGTCGCTTTCAAAAAATTTATGAACAAAAAAGCAACTTTTTTAGCAGCTTTCAATGAAATTATTTTCCTTACAACAACTAAACAACTATCTTTGAAAAAAATACTGACATCTCAAACAAACCCTAATTATTATCAGAAGTTCATAAACTTTAATGACATTATTTTTAATAGTTTTAGGTGAATTATATTATTTTTTCATCTTAGGTGCACATAAATGTTGTTTCGAAACTTAACAATATAGTACTTAATTGAGTTAACTTTCTCATTACTTTATTTTCAAAGCACAATTATTATCCTATTTGATATCTCCTTTTCATTATTTTTTAAAAATTTATATACTAAAAACTACTTTTTATTTTTCAACTTATTATAATTATTTAAAGTTTCCATAATTTTCAAAATGGCACTTGAAATATAAATATCTATAATTACATAACCCAAAATGTTTTAATTAATCAAATGTTAATTGCACGTTGATAATTAATTCCGTTCAATAACCTTCCATTTGTATAGACCTTCCTTGGTTTTGAAAGTTGTCTTCCATTCGTCACTTTGACGGATTTGAATTTGATTGTAGCCGCAGCGTAGGTCCAACTTTGAGAGGATTGTGGCGCTTGCAAGCTTGTCAAGTAGGTCATTAAATCTAGGCATTGAGAAATTGTATTTAATTGTTATCTTATTAATTGCGTGGCTATCTATGCTCATTAGTCATTGACCATCCTTCTTCGAAACAATAAGCGCTGGCATAGCATAGGGGCTCATGCTCAACTATATGAGTTGTTTCAGGAGTAACTCATTGTTGTCCTTGTACAGGATCGGCAGCACCTGGAAGACAAGACACAAACACAACAGCAAACAACACAGGGAAAAGGCACAAGAAATACTACCTCTGTATTCTCTCTGAGAAATACTGTTGTAAAGAAGATAACAAAAACTGAACTGCTGTTTTCTCTACTTCTCCTATATGTATTTTCCTTCCTAGCTACTTTCTTCTATTTTAGAAATACGGTAAAAGTTGCAAAAATTATAAAAATTGAACTGCTGTTTTCTCTACTTCTCCTATATGTATTTTCCTTCCTAGCTACTTTCTTCTATTTTAGAAATACGGTAAAAGTTGCGAAAATTATAAAAAGTGTTGTCAGCTGAAAAGTGATACTAGTAGTGGGAGCATAAGAGTTCGTTAGAGCCTAGCATGTACCGCCGTTATTAGCTACTTAACCTGCACTGCATCAGTCCTCCCTAACTTCAGAAGAGCTCGACTCCTCCGAGATGAGTGATACTCGAGCCTCATCGAGTGAGTGGTAAGGCCATATGTCGGATACATTGAACGTAGAAGAAGTATTGCAACCTGGTGGCAACTCCACACTATACGCATTGTCGTTAATTTTAGCAATGATAGGAACAGGTCCGATTTTTCGTCGGGCCAATTTCGAGTAAGCTTCAGGCTTAAATCGTTCGCGGCGGAGGCATACCATGACCAAATCACCAACCTGAAAAAGTTGTTGTCTGCGGTGAGTATCAAAGGCTCTCTTATAGCGTTGATTTGAGTTGATGATTTGCTGCCTAACGTCGGAGAGGATTTTGGAGTAATCTTCGGTAAATGAAGCAGCCACCGTGGATTTACATTTGGGTAGGACAATGATATCTACAGCAGTGTTAGGAGCTTTAGTATAGACAATTGTAAAGGGTGCCTTACCGGTGGATCGATTGGGCATTGCATTATAAGCAAATTCAGCTTTACTAAGAACCTCCTCCCATTGCTTAGGATTTTCTTGAACCAAACATCAGACCATATTGCCATATATATGGTTGACAACCTTCGTTTGGTCGTCGAATTGAGGGTGGTAGGCCGAACTAAACCGAAGTTCAGTGCCGAGTCGCTTCCATAATTCGCGCCAAAAATGGCTTAGGAATTTAACATTGCGATCCAAGGTGATGCTTCTTGGTAAACCATGCAAGCGAACAACTTTGATAAAAAAAAGATTAGCAATATGTACGGCGTTGGAAGTTTTCTTACAGGAAATGAAATGACCCATCTTTGAGAATCTGTCGACAACCACCATGATTGAGTCGTTGCCCCGTCTCGCTCTCGGTAGTCCAAGGATGAAGTCCATACTCAAATCCTCCCATATTGAGTCAGGTACCGGTCATGGCATGTATAATCATGTGTTTTGGGCTCCCTTTTTATAAATTTGGCAAATAGGACAAATGTCCACTATGCGGAAGGTGTCACGCCTTAGTCGTGGCCAGTAAAACCTTGCTTGTAACTACTGAAATGTATTGTCCTTACCAAGGTGTGCTGCCAGCCCTCCACCATGAATTTCTCTTATAAGATGCTGCCTCCAAGAGGATTGCGGGATGCACAGTAGATTTAGCTTAAAAAGAAATCCATGCCTAATGGAAAACTCTTCAAATTGCGGTGCTTCAAGGCAGTGCTCCCAGATTTTGCCAAAATCGGTGTCATCTACATATAAGTCCTTCAGATGTTTAAGGCCCACTAGTTCGGTCTGATGTTTGGTAAGTAACACTGATTTCCAGCTGAGTGCATCGGCGACTCTGTTGTCAACCCCTAGCTTGTGCTTAATTGTAAAGGAGAATCGATGTAGGAACAAAAACCAATGAACATGCATCTGGTTGACATTCTTTTGAGTATTTATGTGTTGCAAGGCCTCATTATCATTGCATAAAATAAATCCTGGTGCAGTAAGTAAGTTTCCCACTATTTCAAAGCACGAACGATCGCATATAACTCTTGTTCGTAAGCAGTTCATTTTTGCCGAGCAGGGCACAAATTTTTGCTAAAAGAAGCAACCGATCTTCCCAATTGTGACGCACAGATCCAATACCAATTGAAGAGGCATATGTGTCAACGGTGAAGAGTTTATCAAAGCTAGGAAGCACCAAGACAGGCGCCGAAGTAAGAGCATTTTTAACGGCTTGAAAGCTTTGTTGCTATTCGGATCCCCATTTAAACGACTTGGATTTCAAGCAATCTGTAATAGGAGCCATTAAGATGCTGAAATTTTTAATAAATCGCCTATAAAAATTTGCTAACTCGTGAAAACTGTGAATTTCAAAGAAAGATTTTGGTGTCGGCCAGCTTTGTATTGTAGAAAACGTTTGAGGATCAACATGTATGCCATCCGCGGACACAATAAATCACATAAACCGGACTGTGGACGTTGCAAGTTCACACTTATGGAGGTTTAGGAATAGCTTGTTTGCTCTTAAAACTTCAAAATGAGACCATAAGTGCTAGAGATGTTGTTGCCGGCTAGTGCTATATACCAAGATGTCATCGAAATACACAATACAAAATTTGCTTAGAAACGGTTTCAAAATTTTGTTCATCATACGCATAAATGCTGAGGGTGCATTACACAACCTGAAGGGCATCACCTTCCATTCATAGAGCCCATGAGGTGTTTTAAAGGCTGTTTTCCACTTGTCACCTTGTCGAATGCAAATCTGGTGGTAGCCGCTCCTCAAATCCAATTTGGAGAAGACCGATGATCCCATGAGCGTATCAAGAAGCTCCTCTATGCGGGGAATCGAAAACATGTATTCGACTGTGATTTTATTTATAGCCCTACTATCGATACACATTCGCCATTTGTCGTCTTTTTTTTGTTACCAGTAGTGCGGGCACTGCACAGGGGCTCACGCTAACTTCTATTAGCTGCTTTTCCAG